GAAGCTCAAAGTAATTTCGTGTAGAAACAAGGCACCATCCTACTTAGTGCTAGAATTCAGTCTGTGCCAACTAGCAGAACATTGCAGTGTGGCTCATGGCTAATAAACTACTATCAAATCATGCTCAGTTGCCTCAATCGGCAATATTGCTTTCCACGGGGATGCGCCATTAGAAATTAAAACTACCTATAAGCTCAAAGACCAGGAGCTAGGCAAGAAGGATAAGCTGTGGGGTTACCCTCCTATCATCACTGTCCAACACACTGTAAAGAGCCTTTGTTGCCTAGACAGGTTTCCCACCATGCACCCAATGGATACAACTCTAGTTTGCTCTTCACCGGGTCTCTCATATCGTCCAACCATTGGTGTTCCCACTGCTCCTTCATGCTAACTGCTCTTATAATGACTTACAATCGACTAACGTTCCCACCACTGACGATGGCACTCACACTGCCCCTGTAGTGCCGCTGTTGGTAATCAAAATGGAAAAATAATTTGTAGGGATACCCTCTCATCATCACTATCCAGGACACTGTAACGAGCCTTTGTTGCCTAGACGGGTTTCCCACCACGCACCCAATGGATACAACTCTAGTTTGCTCTTCACCGGGTCTCTCATTTCGTCCAACCATTGGTGTTCCCGTTGCTTCTTCGTGCTAACCACTCTAAGCTTATAATAACCACAAAGAAAACCAACTTGCGGAGAGGCAAAAATACCTAAGACAGACAAGGAATAGAAATCACAGGTTTACTCCCATGCATCGCAGTTACGTGTTTCTAAAAAACGAAACACTAAGAGCAACCCCCACGCCAAAACAGAGACAGTAAACATTTTACTTCGCAAGGGAATCAAGAGACAACTAAGCGATCAAGAAAATGCAATACCCTAAAATACGACTGACTAGCCTAGAGAACCACTAACAGACGGAGAGTATGTTCTAGACTTTATAACTGGATATGGCCACAAGGACAACCAGGTTCAGTGTTCAAAATGGAAGAGCTAAACTATGACTTATACCCCGGAACAATCCTACCCTAAAATACGAACAAAAGAGTTGCGATCGAAATTAAGCCCACAAAAGAATCAAATTAGATGAGAAAAGGGAAGGGGTTATGAAGAGAGCACGAAGAAAATGCACATAGGATGTGAAGGAGATAGACTAGGGGTTTCATTCGAGTATCTCTACATGTTGAGGCAAACACTCGACTATATATGTGAACAAATGACCTGCTGGAGTACCAAAGCTAACCTAAACTATACCTACATGCGAACAAGATGTGCAGAAGGAGACTTACAAAATTACTAAAGGGGGAAGTACGCTTATGTCACATAGGAGTTCGTAATGGGCAGAAAAAACGGGCATCGGCGTCTGTGTCAGGGCCTGAGTTCGAAAAGGAGTTCGTAACTCAGGCCGGCGGTGGTATCAGGGCGGATGTAGCGGACCCACCAGGTGTGGTGCTCCGCTAGCGATAGAGATGGAGATGGAGGAAGAAGGGGGGAGCGAGATGACACAACGCAGCTCCCCACGCAAAACTCCAACGCACGTACTCCAAAATGTGCCAGTGAAGAATGCCCCTGAAAATGGACAATGGCCGGGGTATACCCCAGCGGACTGACGGGACTGGACTGGACTGGCTGGTACCGACAGAGGTACCGGCCTGGACTGGCCTACCCCGAATACAACACAGGCCTGTGAGAACAGGCCAAGGGGCTGGTCTCACAGACCAACCCGAGGTCCGCTACACGATCCTCGACCTGTGATGAATCGCCTAGATACAAACATCCTTCCGCCAAGAAGTGGAACTCTACCAAAGAAAAGAAAACCCGAGTAGTCTAGGATGTGGAGCAAACTCCATGCTGAGTCCATGCGATGTAACCTAGGATATAAAATGTCACAAAACAGCAATGTCACAGCTAACAGCCTAAGCGAAAGCAGAAGCAACTAACTAACATACATGTCCTAGGCAAGCAAAAGCAACTAACTAGCATGCATGTCCTAGGAAAGCAGAAAGTAGTGACAACTAGATCCTAGAATGTTGGAGGCACTAACCTCAGTCTGGTAACAACTGACTAGTGTATAAGTCCTAAGAACAGCAAAAACAAAACAACTAAATCCTATAAATGTCGGAGGCAGTAGCCTCAGTCTGAGGGCAACAAAGCAATCAACAAGACAACCATATGTCACATGAGAAGTGTGTCGCAAACAAAAGGGTGGGATGGTCTCTGAGGGTGGCGAATGCAGCCTAGGGGTCATAAACTCCTAAGGGCATCCACACATAGTGACAGGGGAAAACACATGTCATCCGGCTCAATGAGGGTAGGGAACTGGGAGCGAACAGAACCAATGACCCTAACAGATAGCCCATCAGGGCGGGTAATGCTCGACTAAGGGGTGACCGCTATGGAGGGTCGACCATGCAAGGGAACAAGGGAGCCTGGTATACTGGGCGCACCAAGATAAAGCATGCGGGGCTGCCTAACTAGGGTGTGAGGGCCGGTGAAGGGTAGAAAGATGATGGGTAAGAGAATCATGCAAATGACTCCTAAGGTGAGGGAAGTCGGAGCTAGATCCGTAAGATGGGAAGCCAAAGCAACGCTACGGTCCCGATGCCTATGCGTATACCAAGGGAGAGCCCAACTCAGAGGAACCCGGCTAAAGGCAGACCATCATGCGACACAAGCAGGGTACTGTACAATGTAGAGTGGTAGGAGAGTGGCTACGTCTGAAGTAGGCAGAGCTGATCGTGATGAAGTCCATGAAGCTGCCGATGACGTCCACGATGAGAAGTCCGGAATGCCGTCGAGGAAGAGCCGCAACGTCGACGAGCTGAAGTAGCAAAACTGATGTGGATGGAGTACTGAGAAGTCAAAGACGTGGGAAGGTAAGTCAAAGTCAATCGTCGTATCGAGCAGGACGACGACGAGTGCGCTGTGGACGCTCAGAAGCATCCGGCTGCTGCTGAAGGTCTGCCT